TTCTTTCTTTCTTTCTTTCTTTCTTTCTTTCTTTTCACATATTTTTTTATTTTATTTATTTTTTATTTATATTTCAAATGTAGTCACCACCCATCTCAAGAGGAAGTGACTCTGGGCAGTATATAGGCTTGTACCACCCTCACGACTCTCGGGAGAGCTCTGGTGAAGCTTCCTCCTACTCCTTAGCTCACCCGCAGAACTGCCTGCCAGTTTGCTGGGGGGAAGTGGAACAAAGGGAGCCGTGGACGATGAGGAAAACTGCACCCCCATTCCTCATTCCAGTGTGTCCCCAAGGGCCCCCTCAAGGGAGGAAGAGGGCTCATCCATCAACCACCTGCACCCCTAGCCAGCCGTATCTTGCCAGCAGGCTCCAAGTCACTCACTCATCCTTTCCTCAAACCCCACAGCCATTAAGAGATTTCAGATTTCTGCCTCGTTTCCAAAGCAGCCAATTGTCGCTCACCCATTGGGCCATGGCCGCCAGCCAACTGGGCACACAGGACAGAAGGAGGTGGGAAAGAGGTCGGGGATGTGCCCGTGACGACTATGTGACCTGGCCTGATCATGGCAACACAGTAGCATAGCAGTGCTGAAACAGCCACAAATTTCCTAAATTTCAATCCCATAGGAGTAATGGGTCCCAGATTTTGGATGCATTCTGTAAATTATCCCATTTGAGGTACCTTGGTTCAAAAATTGTTGCCCTATGACACACCATTTCTCCCAGTTGAAGGTTACAGACACGAGAGTTTTTGTAGTGTATAGATTCTTGCAGTATAAAAGACATAATAATTTTCTACATTTTATTCTATTTCGCTATATTTCTTTTGCTGTATCTCTTTTGCCAGGCACATAACCAATAAAAAACAGCTGATACCCCCTCTATGCTGGATGTGTCCGTGTATTGCTTGCAAATTGCTGGTTTTTAATTCTTGCATTAAGAGCATTGTAACAGCAGAAAGAAAGGAAAAGGCACATTACTGTATTTCTATTTGCCAAGCTCTTCCAACCCCCAAACCTGCATTTTTCTTCAGTGAGGGAAAAAAGCCACAACTCAGTAAACCAGGATAAAACGGGAAAAAATTCCTATGAATTGAAATGGACTCCTGGTGACTTTATGGACATGTTCACTTAAATGACTGTTTAGTATTTTGCAAATATAAACTAGCTGTGGTTTGCCTTGTGATAAGAGTTTACTCCAGCATTGCTTGGTGATGATATGCAAAATGTATTTTGTCACTGAATGAAAGTTAGTTGACATATTAATGGAAGTTAGCTTATAGATTTTTTAAAATTTAAATTTCATATAGGTAGCTTTCTCTGCCAGAAGTTATTTATGTATATTGTCTCATGGGTTCAGGCCAATTTTGATTGATGTTTCTTGGCATTAAAATAATCCAGGAAGAACTAAGTAGCAGCTGTTTATCTCAAAGACTTTACTTGGCTGAAAGGCATCTATCCTGTTTGTGTTCTTTTGTACATCTGTAGTTCCTGGTCTTATAAATCACAACTATATGTGCTGTTTATAAAATGTGTGTGTTTAGAACACTTTTAATGAGGAAATTTGATATATTTTGGCAGATATTTAAGCTATGGTTCTGGTCCTAAACGATTCCCATTGGTAGATGTCCTACAGTATGCATTGGAGTTTGCATCAAGTAAGCCGGTATGCACGTCTCCTATTGAGGATCTTAATACTAGTGCTCTTCCTAGTGGTACTCTGTCAACACAGGCAATACCAAGGTAAAACTGCCTCAGATGTGTTGAATATTTCTTGTTAAATTTGCTGAAATCAGTTAACTAGTCACTTACTAAATGATTAAGTAATATAGATATTTCTTCATCTGTTCGTAAAAGAGATCCTTGAAAAATGTTTCTGATATGTACAGCCTTATGCAGTTGGCACCACCAATGGATTGGAGTTACATAGAGTATCATACTCAGAAAAGTCCTGATAATATATTTTTTAAAATGCAACAAAAAGAGGTATTACATTAGAGAAGATTTAATAAAACTGTTCACAATTAAAAATAATAAATGTGTACTTTAACTTTCCAATTTTGTGAAAATTAGTAATTTTTATAGTTGGGACTGAAAGGATTCCCAAAACTGGATTAGTAAATTTTGAGAAAAATGAAAGGATGGGGATTGCACCTTAGAGTTTCTGTAACTATTTTCTATAAATATATAGAATATTTGGAAATATATATTGTTTTTGTTTACTTACATTGAATTTTTCATATTCTTAACAAATGTAGCACAGCAGAACAACAGGGGCCTTCTACAGAAACACAAAGCACATCACCTGCACAACGATCAGTTATACACAAGCCATTCACACAATCACGGATTCCTCCAGACCTGCCCATGCATCCAGCACCAAGGCACATAACTGAAGAGGAGCTTTCAGTACTAGAGGGCTGTTTACACCGTTGGAGGAAAGAGGTGGAAAATGATACTAGAGGTACAAGTTGGAAGTCTGGGGTCTTGACCAGAAATCTGTAGAAATGCTGAAGTGTGTACTGCTACTGGCTTACAAAAGCTGTTACCCTTTATCTTTCAGCTGGGAGAAAAAACTATAACTGATTCTAACTTCTCACTGACTTTGGATTATGGTCAAGTTGAGAAATTTAACATAACTACTCCCCGATTCCATTTGAAATGTAGATGAGCTTAAGCTCCACAAATCCCTATTAATTCTCAACTGATAATGTTTTTCAGTTTCATTTTTAGTGAATATTATGATAGTCGAAGAATGCCACTTTGTAGGGCAGGAGGAAGAATAGATATTTTTTTCCATAAATTGGGACTAAGTGTTTATATAGCAGTTCAGTTTTGCCTTAATCAAAACTGTATCCAAGGGAAGACAAGAGGGAAACGTTTTATAACAGAGGAAACATTGAAGAGAAAGATTCCTACTGTTTTCTAGAAAATGTAATGTAAAATTGCATACAGAGACTTTGAGAATCAACACTGTGTAATGATGATGTAATGAAAAACAATAGTATTTGAATAAATTAAATATATATTTAAATAACTTCATATAGGCGCCCAGAGTTCCCTGGGTAAATGGGTGGCACCTATAAAAATTAGATGGATCAATGGAGAGATAGATAGATAGAGGTACTTGATGAAATAATATTTCATGCTAATTTGACATTGAACAAGCCAGGGTAAGTATACAATTTATTTATAAAAAATAATTTTAGATAATTCACAGTAATTGTTTTAGAAGATGACAGTTCTTCTCCTGTTACTTTAGACTTGCAAGAAAGCATAGCTAGAATACAGAGAACAATTGAACTAATGTACTCTGACAAATCAATGTTGCAAGTAAGTATTCTTTCCATATGACAGATAATTTATTAGTGGTGCATTTTGTATATGTCAAGAGTCTAAATAATTTTATATGCATTTGTATTACTATCAGCATGCTCGTAATGTAAAATGCTTGTAATTTTGGAGATTTAGATATGAACCTCCAGCACAAGCAACTCCTATTCGTGCATTTTCCAGTCCCATTTTTCAGGAAATATTTAAAAAATAAAAATGGTTCTCCTAGTTTCAGTTTGCTTAGTTGTAGTTATATGATTTCTTTAAAGTATCCATTTTTGTTCACCATAGGTGCTTTTAATATAAAAGCTTTTTCAAATTAGCTTGAACTTAAGCATGTGTTTGTATAAAACAGTGCTGAGCCATTGCATAAAGAAAACACTAGCATCCAGTTACCAACAAACGTACAGAATGTATCATCTGTTGTCCAAGAATCATACTGCATATAGGCAGTCTGCTAAATTCTCATGCAAATTCAAACTGGAACAGAAAGAAAGTATAAATACCCTGTTTAAACATGAGCATGGTAAAATATCTGAAATACTTCAGGTATTGCTGAGAGAAAGAAGATGCACGAGACATTTTTTATCTGATAGTTAATACCTCATTCATATTTCTTTTATTTTGCCTGTTTCAGCCATTCATAATCTGTTAGTATATAAGTTCATAGGGATAAGCAATGTTGTCTATGGCAGGACCCTAACAAAATTTACCTAGAAAGTCTGCAGTAGAAACATAACTGTTTGGCAGAATCTAGTTGCACAGCTTTCCTTGAGCAGGAAAATAAAAACATTATTGTGTTTTTATTAATTTTGACAAAGTTGCTGATCCATTATATCTTGATTTTATTTGACTTAGGTTCCTTATCGGTTACATGCGGTGTTAGTCCATGAAGGCCAGGCTAACGCAGGACACTACTGGGCATATATTTATGACAGTTATCAACAGAGGTGGATGAAATACAATGATATTTCAGTGACAAAATCTACTTGGGAAGAACTTGAGCGTGACTCATTTGGTGGTTATAGGAATGCAAGTGCTTATTGTTTAATGTATATTAATGATAAAGAACCACTTTTGATACAAGGTAATATGCAACATGTTGGTCCCTGTATGTGAATAGTTTCATGTATTACAAATCTATATTATTAAACAAATCACATTATAATTCTTAATATTTCTTGAGGCCTAAAGAGGCAAGAAAACTATAGTGAATTTGGACATACCTGTCTAACTTTTTTGTTGTGTTTCAGTTTTTGTGCTGCTTGATTGTAAAAAAAGGCCTCTGTAAAAGAAGGTGAAATTTAGTGAGTTTTTTCATTGAAAACTGAACTCTGTAAAACAGAAATGTACATGTACAATACACAGTGAACTGTAGGGGAAGGCAGGAGAACAAATGCACTGTTCGTTGCTTCCATTTTCTTCACTCCCTTTCCCTACAATTCACTATGTTGCCCACATATCCTTAAGAATCTACACCAGAATATTTCCAATGTTCTGCATAAGTATTTAAGTCCACCCTGTGGGCTAAGGTTCTTGCTGAAAATGTGGAAATTTGTTCACCCAAAATCTTTCAAAGCATTAATAGTGATGAATAAGAAGGGCATGTGACCCTTTCCACAACAATTGACTAACCTACTCACAAACCATGGCATAGATGGAAGGAAGGTAAATAAGACCCAAGTTGTTTTTTTTAAATCTAGATAAAGCTTTAGTCTCCCCTTTACTTATAAAGTCTGAACTGTCTCCTGTGAGTGAAATTCATGAAGGTATTTTGATATTCTTCATGACATACATGCATTTATATTGTTACAGAGGAATTCAACAAGGAAACTGGGCATATGATTGTTGGATTGGATACGTTACCTCCTGATTTAAGAGATTTTGTTAAAGAAGACAATAAACGTTTTGAAAAAGAATTAGAAGAATGGGATGCACAGGTTTCTCTGAAAACCCAACAAGAAAAAACATCCCATATACCCAGGGTACCTTTGCCTTCTACTGCCCAAGGTTAGTAATTTTATAATTCTTTTTCTATTACTTCTCATATCAGTATTATGATCAATAATATCAAGCAATAAAAGCAAACATAACCTGCTATGCCATGAGTTCCCAGAACAAGAGTGCTCCAACTACATTTGATATCTAAATGTACACGCCATACGTTTACTTTCTACCAATAGCAGCTGATACTTCCAATAGAACATGCAAGCATATTTCTGTTTGTTGATAGCTACGTCAAGTCCCTAATAGATATCATACTAACATATTTATAATAAAAAGACAATGTTTTTTCCCTTTTTTTCTTATTATTCATGGAGAAGAACCAGAGTATTTGGAACAACCTTCAACAGCTGATATCTCAAAACAGTTGAAAGAAGACTCTATACGAGCAATCACAAAAGCATTTACTGAACAAGAAGATAAGAATCCTGAAACTATTATGCACATGGTGAGATCCTTAATATACATGTTCTTTAATTTTTGCTTGCATTCTGAAATATCACTAGCTCTGTTTTAGTGCACTGTACCTAACAAAGCTTCCATTCATCTTTTCTGTCCCCTGCATATTGTTATCAGAGAGTTGTTTCCTTCCCTACTTGACTGCTAGAAACCATTGAACAAGCTTCTGAACAATTATTATTTTAGATTAGCTATTATTAGCTTGATTACGTCACATAAAGTTAAAAACACTATGGCAAACCTTGAAGTTACTTATTTTTTGCTTTCCTTCATCATGTACAAAGAAAAAATTGTAAGTTTCCTTAGCAAAATTTTCCTGATGAGAACAGGACCTAGTATCTTATTAATGTGTAAAATAATTGCCCTTTTTGTCAGATGAAATTGAAACTGGTTTGAATTATGTTTTCAGCAAATGTTTTAAATTTCCTGTCCTTGCACATAGGTGAAGGAATCAGGAAGAATATGAAGTTAATTTGTTCTACAATGTATTCTTATGTTGCATTACCTGATACTAAGTTACTCCTGCTGTTTAAGATCATAGGAAAAGAACTAGAAAAGTGATGATTTTATTATATGTACCAACAGAGAAAGCTATCTTTCCATCTGTCTGTAGCTGTATAGGGATAATTTGTGTGAAATAATTTTCATGGGAAGAGATCCGACAAGTAGATATAATTTAGTCCAGTCAATGAATTTCAAAGATAAGAAAAAAATAAATGATAAAATCATGTCCTTGGATGTTATATCCAGAAACAAACAGTTTTACTGTTGGTCAGCTGCAAAGTAACATAGTGCTGACAGAAAAGAATCTTGCCATCTTCATTATCTCAGAGCTGTAGTTCAACAGAAGTAGGAGGTTCTACCAGGTAATTAATTAGGAGAGGGTACAAGGTCTGTGCCAAGGTTAGAGAAAAGGGACTGTAGAACAGCATATGCGTCACCAACTTTGTTTCTCCACAAGAACATCGGGCACTTTACCATGGTTTCTCTCCAAAAGCACTGAGTATAGGCATTGAATTGGCCCAGAGAGAAGGTTTTTTGATATAGCACATTAGTAAGATGACACAAGTACCTCGCAGGAGTGAAAAGAAACATTAAACTTATTTTCTCATAAGAAGGAAAAATGCTCTATAGAATCACCTCTGTGTAATTGACTATTTTTCTGAAGTAGCCAAATCATAGGATTTATGTTACAGTTTTAACTTTTTCATTAAATTTTGCTGTCAGAGATGTTTCTTAACTTTCTTCCTTCAAGAGTATTCATTTAAGAATGCCTAGGCTCTGAGCATCTTACAAAGTATCAGCATAATAGGA